ATTCTTTAGAGAATGTCCTGTTTTTCCACAATTAAAACATTTTGCTTTTGTCAGATTGAACAGATTTGGCAGATTGAATTTCCTCTACTTATTAGCTTTATACATTGTATTAATGCATGCATTATTCTTTGTCCAATCATTGGAATCTTGTGCTCGTTTAGTACAGTAATTGTTGTAGGCATTCTACAATGTAAGGATTAGTTGCTTCAGTTCAACTTTCTTATGTTCATTGACTGGTTTGCCTTTGTTTTGGGCATCAGTAGATTGTATTATTGTATTTACTATGTGTGTATATTGCTCAGGAGTAGCAAGCAATATTGCTGCTTTGTATGTAGAGTTGTGTGGTGGATCACTGTTAGCAGACAGAGTTGTGTATGCTTCCTCAAGTCTGTCTAATGTATGTCTGAAATGTTTTACATGGTCTCTACAAATAAACAGTGCCAATTTGTTAATAGCCTTTTTATGTACTGTCTGAGGGTTAAAGCATTCTTCAAGCACTTTCATTAACTGAGGGATAGACATATCAAAGTGTATATAGTTTGCTAATATTGTGTCAGTAATGTTATTGACTATGCATGCATGAATGGCCTTAGCCATCTCCCTCTCAGCTTCGTTCTGTGGTTCATCCTTTAGTAAGTGTTTGAAGCATGTAGCTGCAACACTAGAAACAATGCAGTAGTGCCACATCTTGTAGTTTGCTTCAGTCTTAAGCATTGTGATGTTTTGACCAAAGTATTTAGGTACATTGGCTGGTTTACAGTGTGTATCCATATGTGGGGGAACCATGATGCAAATGTGTGCAAATGTATGCAAGTAAAGAGTTTAGAGTGTACAGTGGATGCGTGTATGTAGGGAGCTCAAGGCTCATAACCTGTTAAGAGAGAGAACTTAAGGGGGGCATGTATAGACAAGGGGTGAGGTGACGATTGACTGCTCAGTGTCTCTTGTCCTTATATTGTATGTATTCTAACTGAGACATTATGAAGTCATTGTCTTGTGGTTTGTCCATTGATGAACTAATCATCTCATAATAAGTTTGCTTCAGTCTTAAGCATTATAATGTTTTGACTGAAGTATTTAGGTACATCAGCTGGTTTACAGTGTGTATCTGTACATGGGGGAACCATGATACAAATGTGTGCAAATGTATGCAAGTAAAGGGTTTAGAGTGTACAGTGGATGTGTGTATGTAGGGAGCTCAAGGATTATAACCTGTTAAGAGGGAAAACTTAAGGGGGGCACACATAGACAAGGGGTGAGGTGATGATTGACTGCTCAGTGTCTCTCGTCCTTATATTGTATGTATTCTAACTGAGACATTATGAAGTCATTGTCTTGTGGTTCGTCCGTTGATGAACTAATCATCTCATAATAAAGGTATGTATATTGCCATCACCATGCCATGGTGCTATTTGCCGGAATGGTAATCCGATACATGAAAAATAACATGCATATTCATCTTCTTTCTCAGTCTGCCACCTTCGTAGTCGGCCTTCTAACGTTCGTACTCGTGAATAACCCGCTCCACACTCTTGATATCTCTTCGACCTTTCCGTGAATATCGACAACAGATTCCTCACTATTCAACACAAACTTCCCTACTACTGCTGCCGGAGTAAGCGCCTCTTACACCTCGTCAAGGCGGTCCACGTAGTCTCAGAGTGTGCAACCTTCAGTGGCGGCTTATTGATGAGTATTCGCCCCGTAGTTACACATAGTTCCTGGACCCTATGTCATTGCACGTCTACACAGTCAATAATTTTGAAGAAAGGACAGAGAGCTCTCGAGCCATGAGTCATATTATACATATCAATCCGTGAGGCTTCATAAGTATCATCACCTCATCCGCCACGGATCCGCGGTAAGCCCCATTATCAGAACCTTTACACTGTAGTAGTAGGATGCATTTAGTGAGGAACCCTTCACCTTTTTGAGGAGGGGAAGGCGGAAGGTGACGGCTTCATTGCACCTCCAGTGTTGGAGCAATAATACGACTATGCATAGGTCGAATAAATTCCCGGACTTCGTCAATGACTTCCACAAGGCGTGTCGAAACCTTGGACAAGATGTTAAGAGCGAATTCTCCGACGACCACAGTGCTGCAATCATCGACACCATCCAAAAGGCAAGAAGCCTGCAAGCGATCGAAGTGATTGCGACTGTCTATGACACATTACACCAACATTGTGGAGTTGCAAGCCTCCCGATCAAGCAGTATCGGCTGTCCTTAAGGTTCGTCTCTTCACCACCCTTTCCGAAACTCCGACTGATCGTTAAACACAACGGAGAGGTTTGAAAGGAAATTCCGCGACAGGGATGTTCAAATTCTACATGCAATTGTGTTAATAACATCAATGTATCGTTAAAAAGGAGAAAAAAGCTGTGCTAGGTCCGTTCATTCCGCCATGCCATACAGTTCACTCGCATTTCGAACGCATAATTGCAATGTAAAGCGAAAGTTCCTTGTTTTGTACCGTACATAAAGGCAATTTTAACCCGTGGTGTGCGTCGTCCAGCGCATGCAAAAATGATAACTAAAAGCCAAGGAATCGGTTGCAAATGTCAGGTAATACACAAAACAGAATCATCAAGAGACCCGCTATGAATCGCGGCCACGAGTGAGCGACGCGTAAGGACGCGTCATGTTGGCGTTGTCTTTCGTGGCTCTATCTTTCCAAAGCCACCAAGGACCCGCGTCGTTGCCGTGATCTACATATAAAGTGAGGCCCTAATTGTCCATTCGCTCTTCATCCTCATCCACCATCACTCCCCCATCCGCTTTGCGTTTGTCACAAGACGTATTTCGCATACCCTATGAACGTCGAACCACTCGAGGTCTTGTTTGAATTCCCCATAGAGGACATCGTGCCAGTACCTCCTGCCCCACAGATGAGGCCAATTGAGCTTCCCGGAGACGATGAGGGGCACGACTGGTACATCAGAGTACGTGATGGATTCCACCATAACTATCCACAATATTCACACTATAGACGCAGGATGCACCCCTGGAGGGTAATGCCCTCCACTTCTTTGATGCTCAAACAGCAGATGTCGGCATCATCGCGCCACTCGAGCCCGAGAACGACTACGAAAATTTCGGCGTGATCCAGCGACTCCTGGACACAGTCAATAACGTAAACGAGACGTTGCAAAACCTTCGGCAAGATGTGCAAAGCTGCTTTGGTAACGATCTCGATGTTGCAGCCATTGACGTCTGCCAGGAGGCAAGAAACATGCTGGCGATGAAAATTATCGATACCGTAGGTATGGGATTAGCACACCATGGGGGAGATGAAACCTACCCCATCCAAGTCCTGCTTGCTATTCTGATGGAGGTATGTCTCTTCGTAATCTTTAACAAACACCTACCAACGATCTATCACGGCAGAGATTTACGGATGGCCGTGCTGAAGATGGAGACATTGAGATCCTAAATGTGATAATTGGAAATATCAACGCGTAGTTACATAGGAAAATGCTGTAAGGTTGACTTATTCTTCTATAGCAGTCAACTGCTCGCCTTTATAACGTATAGTTGCAATGTATAGCGAATGTACCCTAGTTTTGTATGATGCGTCGACGAGACGCCTGGCGCAAGAGGGGGAGTGACGGGGGCCAGTATCCTGCCCATGCTCTTGAATGTCATGAGGATTAAATAGTCCCCGTGTAGCATGAGCCGCCTTGATTAATTCTAAGGCTCAAAGTACGTGTATCGCCTTTCGGTACTCACCAGTAATTATTGATCCGGTAGAGATTAAGTCGAACGAATCATGGAATTGCTGAACATGAGGAACGTAACCCACCCGAATCCCATCAAGTCTTTCTTCGATCGACTTGCATGTATATGTTGAAAGGATCCGACACGATAGGGTGCAAATACATGCGTCGCCTCCAAAAATCGATGGTGAACCGAGACATGAGGATAAACGGTATGCTCTTTGGCCAATGGCTCTGCATCAAGGGTATTGAAGGACTGTGGCACACATAATGAGCAACTGAAAATGAGAATCTCGGACCTCGGTTTTGGAAATGGAACAAACAGTCGTCAAATCACGTGCGTTGCACAGTAACCTCTCGGATATCGGTCCGAACGCTGGAGAATTGGGCGTGTTTTGAAGTAAGTTACTAAGTATGCCTCGTCGCACATTTTTCATATAGATAACTTTCCTCATCATCCCTCTAGGTTCTGATGTGGACGAGCATATGCACTGAGAGACATCTTCTCGCATATTTAGTTATTCTTTCTGGGTTGTTGATCCGCCAATACCCGTGGTCGTGGACGGTAAGTACTAAGTACTAAGTATTCCTTCCAGGTTGCATTATTAATAATTCTATCTCTCCTCAGCTTCAGTCTGCTAACTTCGTAATCAGCTTTCCAGTGTTCGTGCCTGTGAACAACCCATTCCAAACCCTCGGTATCTCTTCGACGTTTCCGTGGACGTCAACAATAGTTTCCGCACTATTCAACACAAGCTTGCCCAAGGCCGCCGCCGAAGTAAGTGCCTCTTCGGCCTCGTCGATACGATCGACGTAGTCAAAGAGCGTGAAACCCTCCAGTGACAACCTGTTGACGAGTATTTGCCCGTAGTTACGCACGACGACTGGTCCCTGTGGGTCTTTCATATCTTTACAAGGGCATTCAGTTGCCATTTTGAAGGAACGGACAGGGAACTAACGAGCCATTCTTCCAACGATACATATGGCACCGTGAGGATTCATACGCATCATCACGTCGTCCAAAATCGATCCGCCAACGTTATCAAAGAATCTGCAGCGTGTCGCGTTATTAGTATCGACCCAGCTCAGCTTCAGGTTACTCACAAGTCAACCTTGTCGGGGGTTACTTTCTTCAGGTCTTCAACAAATGTCGGGCTTTTATAATTAACGGCGTCATCCGCTCCGATACTCTTCAGCCACTTGCATTTCTCGTCAGTGCCAGCAATTCCGACGACACGCTTGACTCCTATGACTTTCTTGGCAAACTGGAGGGCCACGTTCCCAACGGCTCTGCAATATATTCGTCAAGAGGTTCTTCTATAGAATTAGCGGACTAACCCAGCAGCCCCGCTTACGACGAGTGTATGGGACTCCTTAGGCTTCAGCACATCTTTCAATGCCCAATATGCTGTAGCACCAGATACTCCAAGGTTGCCTAAATGTGCACTGATGGGGACACCGCGTATTTCTCTAGGAATGTGTGTCAAGGATAAGCTTCAACGAAGTCTGGTACTTTGGGCTGTAAAAACCTACTTTCTCAGCTTAACCATGTCTTTCTTCACAACAACATAATCTGCCCAGTAAGACTGTAATATCTGCACAATATCGCCGACCTTATGCTGTCCGTTCGTTTCGTTGCCACCAACTTGCACAATGCGACCGATCGCTGCAGGCCACATAACGGGTGACCCGAGGGGAATCGGGGCCAGCTCGGCACGTCCAAACTTTATAGAGTCTTGTAGTAAGAGACGGAGCCCCGGCTCATTAGAGAGATAGATTGTTTGAATGAGAAGAGAATCCTCTGGAATGGAGTTGGGAATGGGAACCTCCTTGACGGCAAAGGTGCCAGAAGGTGATGCAGAGAGGTCTGGGCCATGCTTTTCTGAGACGTAGTTCTGAAGAACCACCGTACGAGCGACAGTAGGAACAGTTGCAGTCATCGCTATTGAGTTGCTTTGCAGTGGATAGACAGTATCCTTGACTCTGTTTAAGTACTATTATGCATTGATAGGATGGTAGTCCGATAGGACAGATACTGCCCTTCGATTTGTAAATGCGTTTAGTAAGTAGCATGTACAGCATCGCGTTAAAAAGACTTAGTAGGATTGGACCATTGATTGATCTGGATCAATGTGCGATACCAGCAGGTAGGCTTTGCGGCATGGAGATGACGCGTCTCGGCAAACAAACACTATGATGATGATGATGATGATGATGATGATGATGATGAGAAACACAAATAGGGTAATTAGTAACTCGAATAGGCTTCGTTTGGCGTCCCCGACTGGAGGTGTGATCACAATGACACTCGGAACGCTGATAGGAAAAGATGTGTGCTTATGTGTTCGTTTCTGCGATAATAATTACGCGGAAATAAACCTGCGGAAGTCATACGCGGTGAAGATTCTAAAGAAAGCCCAAAGCTTTAAAAACAGTATGAAGTCCGTATGTGACTTCCTGAAGTTCAGCACCAGGCTCTATATTATTATATATGCATGTGCAGCTCTCCGCTGCCTTCTGTCTATGACTTCTCTGCTTTCACACAAGTTTCCGATATTTGCCTGCCTTACCGGTGAATGGGTATGTACTCTCTTTATGTACTGTCAAGCAACACGCAAACGAGTCCATACTAATTTACCGTGTATATTGTTGTCAACGCGCTGATCAAGGTCTTTGCCGAAATGATCTATTGATCCGATAAAAAGTATCACGTGTACAAACATCCATGCTCTTTCTCCTCCTGATTCTTTCAGTCCGCCAACTTCGTAATCAGCTTTCCAGTGTTCGCGCCCGTGAATAATCCGTTCCAGACTCTTGGTATCTCCTCGACTTTCCCGTGGACATCGACAACAGTTTCTGCACCATGCAGCACAAGCTTCCCTGCGACCGCTGCCGAAGTAAGCGCTTCTTCAGCTTCGTTGAGGCGGTCGGCGTAATCATAGAGCACGAAACCCTTTAGAGACAGTCTGTTGATGAGTATTTGCCCATAGTTGCGCAAAATCGTCGGTTCCTGTGCATCTTTCATATCTTAACGGATTTAAGTACTTAGTCGGAGTGTTTCGAAGGAAGGACAGTGAACTCACGAGCCATGAGTCCGACTGCACATATGACTCCGTGAGGCTTCATGCGCTTCATCACCTCATCTAGCACGGACCCGCCAACGATATCGAAGAATCTGTTGCATACGTCATTATCAGTGTCGACACAGTCTCGTTTCATCAGAATATTTACGAGTCAACCTTATCGGGTGTTGCATTCTTCAGGTCTTCAGCAAACGTCGGACTTTTGTAATTGACTGCTTCGTCCGCTCCGATACTCTTCAACCACTTGCACTTCTCGTCTGTGCCAGCAATTCCAACGACACGCTTAACCCCCATGACTTTTTTTGCAAATTGAACAGCCACATTTCCGACGGCTCTGCAGACTGTTTAGCAAATGGTATACATTTGGATCAATCTGGGACTTACCCTGCAGCTGCACTTACAACAAGCGTGTCGGTCTCCTTCGGCTTCAGCACACCTTTCAATGTCCAGTATGCAGTTGCACCAGAAAATCCAAGGTTACCTAGATAAGCACTTATGCTGATACCAGGTATTTCCCTAGGACAATGCGTGAGGAATATGTATAATCGGCTCAAGTATGCCGAAACTGCGGAACTCACTTTCTCAGTTTTGCTTTGTCTTTCTTCGCAACAACGTAATCTGCCCAGTAAGGATAAGCTACCTCAACAATATTGCCAACTTTATGTGGTCCGTTCTTCTCGTTACCGCCGACCTGTACAATGCGACCGATCGCCGCAAACGTTGGGAAAGGTGTACCAAGAGGAAGAGTGACTAAGTCTTCACGTTCGAACTTTATAGACTCTTCTACGAAGAGGCGAAGGCCGGCGTCGTTGGAGAGATAGATTACTTGGACGAGGACGGAAGTGGGTCAGGAATAGGGATATCCTTGACGGCGAAGGTCCCGGAAGGCGAGAGATTAACTTCATGCTCTGCTGAAGCATAGTTCTGCAGGATCACTGTTCGAGCAGAGGTGGGAACAGGGGTGGCCATTATTGTTGGACTGCTTTGTAGTGACTATATGTAGCCTGCTATGTTGACTGCGTTTATATAGCCTTGTACGTTGACGATAACTAGGTACTGTCATCGGATTCGCATCAAAATGCGTTTTTAAGAACGTCAGCAGCATTGTTTAATCCCCTATGAAACCTGTTTCTCAGCAGGATTTCCCCGGAGTTGGGTGATTGATTGATTTCAATGAATGCGAGGTACAACTAGCATGAAGTGTTGCGGCACATATACGACGCGTCTCTCGGCGAGTTCACATTCAGGGAAGAAATGGCAATTAAGTTAGCGACAGGGATAGACATCAGTAAGTTCACACAGCATGACTAAAAGAAGTCTCGTAATTAGAATTGAATTTCCAATTCCGATCCGTCTTAAATTAATGAGAGGGAATGCGCGCACACTGGCTGTAGCCAGGCACTGAGTAAAGTAAGATTAGCCCCAAGTACAGTTATTATTAGCTAATAATTCGCGTTACAAAGCTTAATGTAATAGAAAACGTACTTTTATATTTAGAACCGACCCAACCGGGAACTAAACATGCAACTACAACCTCTGTGCCCCAAATGGAGCTAAAGGAGCTCCTGCCAGTGGAAGTTGGTGTATTGGACTGTCCGATCATGGTACATTATATAGCCCATGGGAGTTCTTGGAACCTTTATCATGATAGTCTGTTACTTCTAAATGTTGTGAACTTAACTGGTCTAAAGTTTACATACCCAAGAGAAGATGAATGCCAAAACTGGCTGACTTTACAGCAAAAGTGTGTACGAAATGAATATAATGAGTAGAACCGGAGCCCAGAGTAGAGAGTGCCAGTCCATTTGGTGTAAGAATAAGAGCCATGTTAAACGGAAAACAAAGGTTCTGCCTTTCAACAAGCTTCTTGTGACGCTCAGGCTCAATCTTGCATCCTCAGTAGCTCACAATATAAATCTGATTATAACGAGACCTTGATCTGAATGCGTCTGTTTGTATGATATACAAGTGAAACATGGCCCGCTTTGCACGAGCGTTAAACAATGAGGATCAGAACAGTTACAAACGGGAAAGCTTCAAAGATCGCTTCGTGGAGGTTCTCTCATTGAGTCTCAAGTCAATCTGGAAAGGCTGTAAAGACAAACTATCGACCTTATGAATACACAGGCACCTCTGCAATATCTGTATGTACGTTTGGCCCTCACGGAGATATAAAGCTGTGGAACTCGCCGTCCAGTTAATGCTAATATACACCGAAAAGAAATGTCGAGAGATCTGCTATGAATCGCAGCCACGAACGAGCAACGCGTCATAATAGTGTTGCTTTCGTGGCTTCATCCTTCCAAGCCACCAAGGACTCGCGCCGTTCCCGTGATTCACATATAAAGTGAGGCCCGATTGTTCATTCGCTCTTCATCCTCACCCATCATCACTGCCTCTTCCAAGAGGCAAGGAACTTGGCAGTGCTTGAACTCATCAATACTGTCGGTCACGCATCAGCACACCCCAGGATAGTTGCAAACTACCCCATTCAAACCGTGTTTGCTATCTTGATGGATGTATGCCTCTCCATTAACTATAAGGAACACCTACTGATCATCCATCACAATAGAGATTCTTGGACTGCCATGGCAGGGACAGAGACATCGAAATTCTAAATGCAATTATAAAGAACATTGATCTGTAGTGGAAAAAAAATCTGTGCTGAATTGGTTCATTCTGTCATAACAAACAAGTCACTCACCTTTGGGATAGATACTTGCAACGTGCAACGAAAAGTTCCTTATTTGTAGCAAAACGGTGTGCCTGATGCAAGAGAGGTCATCTTGAGAATTAGTGTCACGGTCCTACCCGTAGACTTGAAAATCATGAGGATTACAGCCGTTTTCAAAATTGTTGTCACACGCGCGATTCGTGATTTTCGTCACACTAAGTACACTCAAATACAAAATCTACTATATCTCAACTAATACTTAACCAAATTATATGATCTAAGTTGTAAAAATTATGTTTTTAAATTAAATTTCATATTCCAGAAAAACTAAAGTGAAATGAGCAAAAATTGAGCAAGATACAACACAAAATGTGAGTTTTCCCTATATTTCATGTATATGAGTTTTCCTGGCCCCAAAACTGATTGTACAATACTATAAGCTAATCTAAATGATGAATATTACTTTATTATTAATTTACATATTGAATTATAACTAGGGTACAGAGTATACATATAAGTATAATACATATTTAAGTTTGCTAAAATTGAGCATTTTCCCCTAACCTCTCTACACTCAGGGAAGCTTCTCCTGAGTACTATTCATGTTTATAAATTCATTCCA